AAAGTGTCGACGGCAACATCTCTGGAAGCACATAAACGTTTGTATTCAAGAATCAGGGAAATTCAAAGTGAAATCTTGGTATTGCTGGGGAAAAACCTTCACCGGGCACGCCCACAAGAAAAATGTCCACCTCTGCCAACTGACAACGTTGCTGTGTTGTCCTCTTCGGAATGGAGCGCTCATTTCTGCACGCTTCCCAGCGGGGGCCCCCAAGGGCATGGCTGGTCCCTGGGAAAACTGGCAGCAGACCTTCCTTCCTCTCTGCAGCCTTTCCCAGGCCAGTGCTGTCCCCCGATGGGCCTTGCCCTGCCTGGCCTCTGTGCCCTTTCCAGTATGAGCCAGTGTCTTTCTGCTCGTGGAAGGCCTTCCTTCACTGTCCAGAGTAACCAAAGGCTCCTCCGCAGAGGAGCACACGCCAGAAAACCCCAGCCAGAGACATGCTCGGGAGACAGTCATCTTGTTGACGGCCCTGCGACGGGCGAGAGAAAGCTGGTGTCTTCTTTGACAAGCCTCCTTAACCAAGTTAATAACTGTCTACTCTCAGCTGCCTCGGGATCGTTTTAGAAGATGCGTTTCACAGTGAGGAGACAGCAGAGGAGACAGCCATCCTCCCCTCGGGGCCTGGCTTCTTGTTCTCAGTGGCAAGGAGACAGCCATCCTCCCCTCGGGGCCTGGCTCCTCCGGTCCTCTAATACCCGTGTCTCCTGAGATTGCAGCAGAGTCTTTGCTTCCCTGACCACTGTGTTTCCCATCCATCAAAAAAGGATGAAGACGGCTCAGCAGGCAAAGGCTCAGCCACAGGTCTGCAGATAAGTGCACGCGGTGGTGGAGAGGGGCTTCCGTAAACTGTCCCCTGATCTCCACACACGCAGACATGCAGTTATGCCGACCCCCAAGTCAACAAATAATGCCATTAAAAGGGCCGAGGGTTCCTGGCTGAGTGAAGATGGACACGTCCAGTCGGCTAAGCAGAAAGAGGGCGCTGGAGGGGTGGTTGACACGGCTGTGCATGCTCACCTCCGTTTTCCCTCTTCAATGGTGTGCTGAGGATCCTGACCACCGTGGCTTTGCCTTGACGCTCTAGACCGAAGTTAATGGGCTTTTTCAGTCTAGGCCAAATTGTTTAAATATTGAAACAGAATGTGTCTATTTGCTTGTTGACAGGAGGGGACAATTTATCATCCAAGGGTGAGAAAGACTGATGGTCAGAATGAGGCAGGCGCTTCCACAGGCTGTGCACGCCACGTGAAAGCTCACAAGGCCCCTGAGTGTGGACACGGCGGTCAGCCTGTTCTAGAAGGCCCATGTGAAAGCATCACTCACGGTTTTCCCGGGAAGAAAATCTTGGGCTCGGGCACACGATCGGGGAGGCTTATGGGAGCTGCGCCCTCCACCAGCAGGGTTTCCTCAGCTGGCATGGCAGCCAGCCAGAGAGACTGGACTCCAGCTTCCTCTCAGATCCCCCCTTGACTGGGAACCCGAGGAGACACAGGTGTGCCAGGCAGGCGGATAATGTAAAGCTTTGAAGGTCATGGGACTACCACATGCGTTAGACGAGTCCTGCTGGACTCGGAACAGACTCCAAGCACAGATGCTAACCCCACACACACCGGCCTCCTCATCTCCCACAGAGGGGAGAGACCACAAGCGCTCAGCCGGCGCACACCACCAGGTGGTTGCAATAATTTAATTATCCAGTATCTAGAAAGCATTTGACAACTATAAATCACTGGGAAACTGCAAACAACTTAAACAATATGGAGCCTTCCTATGGCCTCATGCTTAATTTATGCTCGGTCTCCTCCAGAACTTAGGGTCACACATTCCAATCCATTTTCCGGAATTCCACTTGTGTGTTTGCTGGGGAAATGCGAACTCCTTCCCTGCTGTCCTAACTTGCTGAGACCATGGCTTATGTGGTTGTTGACTCGGACCACAGATATTTACTAGTCGCTGACCGTGGCCTTGCTGAAGATGGGGGGGAGGATCACGAGATTCGCTCTCTGCATTAAGGGAGTAAATTGCCCAGCTGCACACGGTACCCTTGATGTCCGGGGGGGTCGGCCTGTGCTCCCTTGACGGCCCCCAATCCACCTGGAGCTTTATTTCAAATACACAGAACAGCTGGTGTTCATGATTTAAGGCCCAATGCAAACAGCAAAGGAAATTTATTTTGCAAGCTGCCTGAGCTGGCAAAATTCCAGAATTCATCAAACAGAAAGATAAGGATGATGGTGGTGATAATGACGGGAAGGCTGCTGCCTCGCTGGTCTCTGCAAAGAGACAGAGAAGTCTGGTCTCCATAGGACGTTCCAGCATTGTGACACTTACCCCGACGGGCCCAGGGCAGTTGTAGATCAGGGCCTTCCCAGGCCCTGAGACTCAGCAGATGACCCCTGTGCTCGGCAGGGCCGGGCTGGAAGCCAGGCCTGCCATCCCAGGCAACAGTTCTCTCTTTGCATCCAGAGGCGTCCGCATCTATAGAGAAGCTGGAGGGAAAGAACAGTGTTCTAAAAACTCGGCAGCACTTATGTGACCTTGAGCTCAACTGTGTTGTTCCGTAAACTATGGAGACCTTCACTCTCAGGGTCAAGCCTCAAGCAAGCAGGACTCCCCTTAAAGCAAAGGCTGTGGCTTGATTGATGGGCGAACTCCCACCAGCTGGCGGGAGGGATCGCTCCCACTCAGGCTGAACGTTCCCACTGCCACAGAAGGCAGGAAGTGCGTCACTAGCTCACTTGGTTCTCTTGTTCAGCAATGCCAATCAATACTTTACAGATAGAAAGCCAGGCATGGTGGTGCACATGCGTGATCCCAGCACTTAGGAGGCAGAGGCAGGTGGACCTCTGAGTTGAGGCCAGCCTGGTCTACAGAGCGAGTTTCACACCAGCAAGAGCTCCATAGTGAGACCCTGTGTAAAAAAAAAAAAAAAGAAAAAAAAAAAAAAACGAACTGAAACAAAATGGGCAGAGCTTTGCGGAGCTCAGGAGTAGGGCGCTTAGCTACCAGACAAGGCCCCAGATTTATCTCCAATGTTGCACCCCTAAAACTAAGAACGAGAAACCGAGGCTCCAAGCTGATGAGAGGCTCTGTGTCAAAAAACATGGTCTAAACACAGCTCAGCAGGAAAGGATGTTTACTCCCGGCCTGGCAGCCCGAGTTCAATCCCCAGGAACCCATTCCTGCAAACTGTCCTGACCTACACACACACATACACACAGAGACTCAAACACAGAAATAAAAAGCAAATCGTAAGCTAGGTGAAGACACCCCAGGTTGTCAGGAGCCACGTTGGAGAGGAAGGAAAAGGCATAAACAGCCTCCTAACTGAGGCAGACCCTACTTGGCCAATGCCACGTCTCTAGAAATCGAGAACGACCTGGGCCAACCAGATGGCTCTATGAGTCAAGGCGCTTGCTCCCAAGCCTGAGACCCAGAACTCAGACGGGAGAAGGAGAGACAAACTCTGGAAAGCTGTGCTCTGTCCTGAGAGTGCACGGGGGAGGGGTGGCTAAACTCGGTGTTCCATTTTGTTTTTTAAGAAGAAAGGGAGGGAGATTTGAATTGTTGGAAGTGAACGCTCACAGCATCAAGGGGGTCAGGATCAGTATGTCTTCCTTCTCAAATAATTTTATCAAAATTTATATTATCTTCCTTATCTGTGCATACAGGTGTGGGTATGCAGTCTTACCTCTCTAACAAAGGAATCACAGTGAATTTGACGTGCAAGACTCCAGCAGGGACCACAGCACCTTCACTTACTGGCATTCGCGCTGACGGTCCTTCACGTTGTGTCTAGGCCTTTGCTGTGATACGCAGCGTTTCTACGGCCGCTCTTGCGCAAAGCCGCCGTTGACTCTCTCAGGCCTGCTCCCGGAGTGGGGGCAGCTGGTCACGAGCTACGAGCTTCAGGAGACAGTGAGGTAATGCTTTCCACACCAGGCTCTGCTAATTCAACTGCCCAGTAGGAATGGTGAGAGACCCTTTCGTTCACGCCCAGTCCAGCGTTTACCGTTCGTTGTCAACTGAATGAACACGAAGAGGCATCCTCGTTCTGAAGGCCCCAATCACTCACCATCCCGTCCTAAGGTGTCACACTCACTTCCCCTCACACTCTAGCTTACTCAGATGACCTGCCCTCCCCACCCGGCAGGCTACCTGTGTTCCCGCTGATCCGCACATGCTCTGTTGTGTGGGTCACAGATGTGAGTCTCCTTGTAACGCGCTTTGCCATGTCTTTTAAAGAACTGGTATCCTTGGTTTTACTCTAGTCACGTGTGTCATTCTTTTTCCTATATGGCTCTTTGTGTGCTGCTTATGAAAGCCCTGAAGGAAATTCAAAATCTGAGGACCGAGGCCAGAGGCGGAGCCAGGTTACAGGTGAGCCACAGCACTTGGTACCTGCAAACATGTCTCGTTGGTGGCAGCCCTTACTACCCAACACAAGTGAGCGGCTGGCAGCCGTGTGCCTGTTACGGTAGTAGACAGAGCCTTCTTCAGAGCTGGGCGCCATTAAAAATTCTAAGCAGAGACTGTAATTAACTTGCCGTGCTCTGACGCTGCTCACTAAGCAACCTTCTGATTACAACTTGGCTGCCTGTCTATCCTGCCTACAGGGACAGGATGCACTGAGAATATACCGTTCAGGCTGACGTGAGGCTCCAACCCATTAAACACTTACACACTATGATGTAAATGAATAAATTCGTATTCTGATTTTATCATCGGCCTCATCTGGGCTCTGAAGGCGTGAGTCAGCATGCCCGGGTCTAATCAACACGGAAGCTGTGAATGTCAAGCTTCTGGGCTGAAAACCAAGGAACTAGAACCAGCCAAAGTGAAATCACCAAGGTAACATTGCCCCAGAGGCCTGAGGAAACAGGCTGTTGTACATGCCATACGATAGGGACAGGGATCAAAATTTACTTTTGACATTATAAAGAGCTGCATATTCAAGACTGTGGCTCAGTTCCATTCAGGTGAAAGCAAAGACTAGAGGGTGATCATGAAACCCATATTGAATATTTATTGGCTGATGAGGGTACACCAGATGCTGCCCAACTCCTAGCAGGAGGTTAAGATTTATGGACATGATTGAAAACAGAAAAAAACAACAAAACCACAAGACAAACAAGGCAGACACCGTGCGCAAGGGAGAGAACGGGGCCTGATACATGAGGGAGTCTTTTTCCAGGCAGGTACTCGGGGTCCCAGATGCAGAAGAGAAGGTGACTTCAAACACCGGAGGAAAGAATTAGGAGACTGGACAGCGAGCACCAGAGCCCAGGCTGGAGGGTTCCGAGGTCTGAGATTAGCCAGGGCATCGGGATGATTTAGGACCCGGTGAGGGCAAGATCTTTGAAGTGAGTTCAAAAGGCAGCGTGGAGATGGCGGGACAGATGGTGCTAATCGAGGAACGGTGCCCCATTTCATCCTCGGTCCCTGAGAGTGTCGTCTTCGGTATAACTGACCCCGTCGAGAATGCCGGGAACACCGAATGTAGCGAAAGGAGGAAACAAACCACAGGCATCTTCTGAACACTGAGCCTGTGGTGGACACCAGCCTGTCTGTGTGCTCAAGCCAACAGAAAGTAATTAAGATGAGCAGCGACGGTGATGTACATCTTCAATCCCTTTAATGTTCTCTGGAGGCAGAGCAGGTGGATCTCTGTAGGTTGAGGCCAGCTTGGTCCATATAGCAAGTTCCAGGATAGCCATGGCTACACAAAGAGACCCTGCCTCAATAAATAAATGGTGATAATAGGAGACTAAAGGGAATGGGAAGACCTATGCTGGTGGCCCAAAGGGATTTGTTCCTCAGAGAGAAGTGGGGGATGCTACTGCGGACTACGGCAGGGGCACCGTCTGGCCCCGGGAGTTTCCGGCTGATATGGGCAACATCGTGAGACCCTGTCTAAAAGAGAAAGAAAGAAGCCACGTCGGAAAGAGAGGACTCAGGGGGAGCTCCGCAGACAGCGCTGTCTCCCAGCACGCACCGAGGCTTCACAGCAGGGCCAGGCCCCTGGCTTCACGTGGAGAAAGGAATGACCGTGGCTGTGGCCTGCCCAGCCAAAGGCTCAGCAGAACGGCAGGCCCACGCACTCCTCCCAGGCCGCCAGGAAGCAGGGCTGAAGAGGAGCCACACCGGAAGGCTCGGCCCACTGTGGAGACGCGGTCTGGGTAAAGAACGAGCACTCCTGGGCTAGTAGAGGTTGTCCCTCACGTGCTCCATGATGGCCCTCAGCCCTAGCCAGGTCTCCTCCGCCGTGGGGATGATCTGACTGGCCGGCAGGAGGAAGCCGTACTTCCCGGTGTCCCTCAGCTCAAACGTGAACGCGTACTTGATGCCATTGTCATAGGCCCAGTCGATGCTGCTCCCGCTAGCTGGATCTGCAAGTTGGAGGGAGACACCATTGGAGCCTACTTCAGTCCAAGAAGCCTTCAGGTTTCTGGGGAAGGGGCTGGAGCTCTGCCTGCCCGACCCCTCAGAACCCGGAGTTCCTTCTGAAAGTCGTCAGCCCTAAGACATGCGCGTTCCACAGCGCGCTGGTTCGTCCACAGCCTTAGGCCGCCTGCACCATGAGGTCTGTCTGTTCTAGCCTCGAACTGAGAGACTTTACGCCCTCATCCCCGAGGCTGTGGAGGTGGCTCAGTGGGCAAACTGCCTGCCACGGGAGCCTGAGTGGCAGGGTTCACGCTCCTAGAACCCTCAAAATGTCGCCTAGCTGTGTGGCCCACTTGTGATTGCAGTATTCAGGCGGCGGGAACGGGGAATCTTTGGAGCAAGCCGGCTAGCAAGGCTAGCCGAATCAACAAGCTCAGGCGCAGTAAGTGGAAAGTGTTAGGAAAAGACAGCAAACTCCTCTACACGTCTGCTCACACACAGGGATACACACGGATGTGCGTGAACACAAGCACACAGCACATATGTGGAACCCTCACTCCCATGTTGTCACTAAATCAGCAATCCTTCAGGAAACCCAAGCCTATCTGGTTAGGAACAGTGAGGCATGCATTCCCCTCTAGCACCAGTGACCTCTGTCCCCTTGAAATGGTGCCCTAGGCCGTCCTCCTTCAGGTAGAATAAGGCTGGCCTCCCGCCTGGAGGACTGTGCAGAAAGAAGTCCTCCCGAGAGCCAGTGTGCTCTGCCTGATGGAAGGGCGCCCGGGAAGCCCGGTGGGAAGGCTCCGAGAGGAAATGCAACCTGTCAAAAGTCAGCACTGATTCCCCAGGCGCCAGGGTGACCCACCCTACAGTCAAATCACCCAGTCTGCTTGGGCAACCTTCTGTGAGATGCTGCCCCGGCCCATCCATACAAGACCATCTTATCTCCAACCCACAGAAACAGGGCAAGAAAGAAATGTTTGCCATGTTAAGCCGAGAGGTTTTAGCTTAGTTTTGTTTTTCACACAGCAAGAGCTGACACACAGAGGAAAGGAAGTGCATTCCTGGGGACTTCCCTTCGCCAGAAGACTGGCAAGAGATAGGAGGTCTATTTTTTCTGTTTTCTCCCCAAACAACTAAAGCAGGAACTGTCCTGCAAACATCGCCAATAAAATGATGACAGCAGATTTCCTTTTCAGCATCTGGCATGAGCTAGTCATTCTATCACTTTACAGTCATGATCTCATAGCCTGTAAAATCCAGTGACGGCCATCAGTGCCCTTAGTTTACAGATGGGAAAAGTCCAGCTCGGACTAGGTAGAGCAGCTAAGGAAATATAAACAAAAGGGCAGAGCTGGAAGTTAGGCCCACATCCTTTCAAGTGGTTCGTCCAGCCCAGTCGACGTCCATCTGGTGGATTAACCATCTGATAAGTGTAAAGCCAGGCCCTTCCTTTCCCTGGTTCCTGAGGGCCATTTCTCACGGACGTCTGTGTGACTCTTACAGAGACACAGCTTCCGTGGAGACTGCCTATGCCCAGGGGAGGAGGGTGGCTCTGCTGCATTCTCAGGACTCCAAGTGATCCCTTCAGTCTTTCTACCCTGAGAAGGCGCTCCAGGAAAAGAGCCGGACGACGCCTGGCATCTCCGGTGGCTATTTCCATGACGGCCAAGCACTTCATAACATACTTAAGATATTGGAAAGATTGGTCAAGTTCATAAACTTCATTTTGTTTAAGTCCTTGCTCAGTGTGCACATACTCTTGCTTGTGCATATGCGGGTGTGGGCGCACATATGCAGTATGCATGTGGAACCCTCAGGCCTTGTTCCGCAGTGCTGGCTCCCGCTGGCCTGGAGCTCAGCGGCTGCACTAAGTGGCCTCTGTCTCCGTGGCACCGGCTTACGTGTGCTCGTCACCACACCTGGCTTAGGATGTGGGTGTGAGGGATCAAGCTTAGCGATCATGTCGCCAGCCAGCCTTCACCAGCCAGGCCCCCTCCCCTGATCTTCTAAAACAGGCACACGCACGCGTACTCTCAACACCATTCTGCACATTCTGTTTTTCAATTCACACTTGAAGGTCACTCCCCATTGGCACGCACTGATCCACCTTGCTCACTTCAGGGCAGCTCAGTGCTTCCCTGTCTGAATGCACCAACTGCGGTTTTGGCTAGCCCTCTCCTGATGGGAACTTTAGATGCTTAACAGACTTCTGTGGTGATAAATAAAGCTGTCACAAACATCCTTAAAGCTCATGATTTATCCTAGTTGGACGAGCCCAAGAACTCACTAACCAGAAGCCTGCAGTAAATCAGAAGCAGTAAAGAGAGAAGGGATGAGTGCCTCAAAGGGAGCACAAGCAGCCATGACAGTCTGACAGGAGGAAGGAGACACAAGGCTACAAAGAGCAGGCACAGACCCGTGAGGAGGTGAGGGTCGGAAGAGGGACACGTGTGAGCATGACACACACGCATGAGAGCACTGCCACGAAGCTTATTATTTCCTATACTAACTTCTAAAAGCATTAATTAAAAATAAAAAAGATACAACACTTAGAGCATCAAAATGGGGCGGGGTGGTTAGCCTAAGGACCTCACAGTCCTACTAGATCCTCAGGCTAAACAATGAATCTCCAGAAAACCACTCAGTCGTGAGGAAGGCACTGAACTCTCTGCCCTATGCTGTTTAAGGAGGCAAAAAGAATGACTCGCTCTCATCTAAAATGAGGCCAGCACTTAGAGGGACAGGTGTCAGTGAGGATACAGAACCCTCAAGGTCCTGGGTTAGACTTTAGTATACAAAGCTCAGTTTTTAGGAAATGATGAAGGCAGAGAAGACCTATGGAGGATGCAGAACGTTCTCAAAAGAGGAGTTTCATGGCTCGGGGACACCCTGGGAGAGCCTTCCTCCTGAGATAGGCATGTGGTGAGTAGCCCTTGACTGGACACTGCTCACCCTGGGGAAAGAATGCATTTGATGTGGAGTGCAGGCCCGTAATTTAAACTGATGTCTGATCCAAAAGCAGGCCCCGGCGACCCACAGAGATCTTTGGGAAGAGTCCGCCCGCGGCTCCTAGCAAGTCTCCGTTAGCTCTGTCAGGCTGAGGTTCACTCCTGGCTGACCGGGCAGAGGGAGGAGGAAGTCTCCAGGTGTGCCCTCTGAAGACTCTGCATTTAACAACACTAACAGCAATAAACTATGAATAATTAATGGATTGTTGCTGCAATTAGCAAGACAAACACAGGCATTGCCTAACTGCTTTACGATGCTCTGTAGCTACACACACAAAATGAGAGAGCTGTGCCGTGAAGCAAAGCTGGAACACTGGTGGCACCGGGAAGGTACGGGGAAGGTGGGGCACACTCCCTGACAGAGGGGCAGAGCTATACATGCCGACATTCACTTTTCCCTTCCAGCCAGAGCTGCGCAGTGGACAGGTCCCGTCACCTGAATACAGACTTCCGAAATGAGATAATCGGCAAGATGTCTGCAGAACTCCAGGAAAATGCTCAGGTGAGGCCAAACAAGCATGGCCTCCATACGAGGCTGTGAGTGACAAGTGTCCAGGCCAGGTCGGGAGTTGGGGACTTGGCAGGTTCTTTCTTCCTTCCTTTCTTCCTTTCTTTCTTTCTCTCTCTCTCTCTCTCTTCTAGGTAACAGTCATAGTTAGAAGATTCCCTATCACTTGTTTACTTCAAAAACACATTTTATTTTTTAAAAAATATAATTTTTCATTTATAACACTTTATTCACTATGTATCCCAGCTGTAGCCCCCTCCCTGTTCCTTCCCAACCCCACTCTCCCTCATCTCCTATGCCCCTTCCCCAGTCCACTGATAGGGGAGGTCCTCCTCCCCTTCTCTCTGACCCTAGCCCCTCAGGCCTCATCGGGACTGTCTTTCATAGTCTTCCTCTGTGGCCTGGTCAGGCTGCTCCCCCCTCAGGGGGAGGTGATCAAAGAGCAGCACAATAAGTTCCTGTCAGAGACAGTCCCTGATCCTATTACTAGGGAACCCACTTGGACACTGAACTGCCTTGGGCTACATCTGTGCAAGGGTTCTAGGTTATCTCCATGCATGGTCCTTGGCTGGAAAATCAGTCTCACAAAAGACCGCTGGGCCCAGAGTTTTTGGTTCTGTTGCTCTCCTTGTGGAGCTCCTGTCCTCTCCAGGTCTTACTATCTCCCCCTTCTTTCCTAAGATTCCCTGCACTTTGCCCAAAGTTTGGTTATGAGTCTCAGCACCTGCTTTGGTACCCTGATGGGTAGAGTCTTTCAGAGGCCTCTGTGGTGGCTCCTGTCCTGTTCCCTGTTTTCTCCCTCTTCCGATGTCTATCTTGTTTGCCTTTCTGAGGGAGGATTGATCGTCTTACCCAGGGTCCTTCTTGTTGCTTAGCTTCTTTAGGTGAACAGATTTTAGTATGATTATCCTATATTATATGTCTGATATCCACTTATAGGTGTGTCTATACCGTGTGTGTCTTTCTGCTCCGGGGCTACCTCACTCAGGAGGATCTTTTCTCTGCCATCCACCTCCCAGCACAGAGCTGGGGAGTGTCCTTGAAAGTGCTTAGGGACCTGGGGTGACAGCTCAGGTGTGCGAGCCTGAATCTGAGTCCCTGGAGCTCACACAGGTCAAAGCCGCCAGCGGCGTGGGTCTGCGGCGCTGACAGCACAGGGCTTTGTGCACACGGCGG